ACTTAACATAATGCGTTTGCTGTCACTGTAGAGGGTTGTACTGGAAAGCTTAGTCCTGAAGCTGAGTGACATCAATAAAAGTATTTAGTGTGTTTCTTGAAACTTCATGAGATGCGCTTTTTTTTATAGCACCTAAATGGATCAAAATGTTTGTTCTGGATGAAGCTGATGAAATGTTGAGCCGTGGATTTAAGGATCAAATTTATGAGATCTTCCAAAAATTAAGCACAAACATCCAGGTAAAAAAACTTTGTATGTGGTTAAATTGATGGATGCAGGTTTGGTTACAGTGTAGCTGAGGACTGCTGAATTGCCTAAATCAAAGCTGAAGCTGGCGTGTTAGGTACATGCTAATACTGAGCAATGCCTTCTAGGTTGTGTTGCTATCGGCGACAATGCCAATGGATGTGTTGGAAGTGACCAAAAAGTTCATGAGAGATCCCATACGTATTTTGGTGAAGAAGGAAGAGCTGACTCTGGAGGGTATCAAGCAGTTCTACATTAATGTGGAAAGAGAGGTTGGTATCAGTGGTACTTGCTCCAGCTGGAGGAGTTTTTAAGTTTCAGTTCTTTTACCTTCTTGTTAAAGCACTGTGCTAAAATTACAGAAACTGAGGCTGAGCTTTGGTTTCTGTAATAATGCTAGTAGAGTACATGCAAGAAGAAGACAAACTATGCACTGGATCAAATGACTAGGGTGGACCTCTTTCTTAATGTCCAGTGTCCTGTGTCTTAAGATTTGGTGCAACAGTTGATGCAGAAACTTGGTTTGGTGTCTTGTTTGTGCTTTTTGGGTCATACTGAATATGATTGCACACTAGAGCGTGCTTAACTGGGTGTTGCTTTTGAGTTTTATTCCTTGTTTGAGGTTCTTGTGATGCATGGAACTGTCAGTGGCATGATGTATTCCTGATCTCCTTTGTTCTGTTCAGGAGTGGAAGCTGGATACTCTCTGTGATTTGTATGAGACACTGACCATTACACAGGCTGTTATTTTCCTGAATACGAGGAGAAAAGTAGACTGGCTTACAGAGAAAATGCATGCCAGGGACTTCACAGTGTCAGCTCTGGTAAGAATTCACACTTAAGTTCTGAAATGCCATGTACACGTTGAAAAATAAATCATAAATGAGCTGCGTTTGAGTGAAAAGCAGGAAAGTTATAATATAGCTGTGCAGTGCTGTATTATCGTTCCCCCTGCTTAAAGAAAAATGCTTCCTTCTATCCCTACCTGCTTTGTTCCCACGGCAGGTAGGGACGCTGGGTTTCATACATCACTTTGGTTTTTAAAGGATATTCCAGTCTGGAGTACTGGAACTGAGGTAATTCTAACTTTTTTAACTCCACAGCATGGTGACATGGACCAGAAGGAACGGGATGTTATCATGAGGGAGTTTAGGTCAGGATCGAGCCGTGTCCTGATCACCACTGACTTGCTGGTGAGTATTTCACACTGAACACATTTCTGTTGAAATCTGGCGCCAAAAGCTTCATAATTCAGTGAAGGTTCTTGTAGCCTTGAACTACTTGGAGCTTCTTGGAAGAGTAAAGACTACGCTCCACTATGGACTACACGGTTGTAGTTCATCACTAGCCATGTGGTCGACAAAAGCATAAGACAGGTAATTTAACCTAAAGCTTGTGACTCACATTAAAGAATCTGTGTTGCTTTTCAGGCCCGTGGCATTGATGTGCAGCAGGTGTCACTGGTTATAAATTACGACCTGCCGACCAATCGTGAAAACTACATTCACAGGTTAGTTGGCTCTACCCCCTAGTTGGTGTGCTACACTGAGTGTCATGTCCTCTACAGAAATCAGCACAGACCTCACCTGTGTTTGCCTTTAGCCCGTACCAATAACGGGAGGTGTTATGTATCCATTCATGCAGTAACTGCCAAAAAGCGAGCAGGAAATAAGCTACTTGTGGTTTTGCTTTAAAAAGGCCTGACTTGCGCAGCTAGGGTTCTGACATGAGGGAGGAGCAGAGCTTTTGTGGACAGTAAAACAAATCAGTGGGAAAACTTAGATGTGTGACAAGTTCAGTGATGGCTACTCAGTCTTTCCTTGCTGAGATCTGGGGAAACTGCCAGCTACTGAACTGCCTTTTTGTCATGTAGGTTGTGCAGTACAATGTCAAAAGCCACTACTGGCATAGCGTCTGGGCAGCAGCGTTGGCTGAGCTGTTGGTCCTAGCTAAGCTTTGTTTGCTGCTGCTCAGTGACTAGACCTTGATATTCCTAGCAAACTAGTTGTACAGGAGGACTGCCTTCACTCCTGGAGGTTCAGCTGTGTTCATGTCTCGTGTGCCTTGTTTGCTCTTGGTGTGGCTTCTCTCGCAGTGGGATTCTCTCCTCTGGTGTGTGTCTTCTGGTAGCAACTTGAGTTTTGTTGCCCTAGGTTTAGTTAACTGCTTCTAGTGACTGTCCCTAAATTAAGTAAACTGTGCTTTGTTACTTGATGTAAAAAAATACAGGAGTCGATAGCAGCAGTTGATGACACAAGATGGTGCTCAGAAACGGCGTTGACCTAATTTAGGACGTGGATTCGTAAGCGGCACAGTTTGAATAAAGAGCGAGTCGGTATTTATATATTTCTTTTGTCATGATTATTCACTAAGTTTTGTGAGCCATTTTTGTGTCTTAGCTTGTGCTGACTAGTGCTTTATTGTGCAGTCTGCAGGAAGGTAGAACTGATGGTGGGTGTGACTAAACTACTGTGATGTCTTAGTGACTGACTTGGGCTTACACAAAAATGTCGAGCTTGGATTTTTCTGGTTAAAAACCAAACCCTAAGTTTTCCCACTGGAAACAGTTACATTGAATTACAGTTCTCAAGGTGAGCATGCTGTTCCATGTTACTGGATATAATTGGATTAATTTGGGAACAGTCTGATTTTTGAACAGTTGCTTATCTTTGGTGTGCCATGTGCTTGGGATCAGATGGATGGGTATGGGGTAGTTGGACAGAGGGGAGGGAGACTGAGCTAGGCCTTCATACCACAGCATCAACTGCTAAATAAAGATCTTACTTTGCAGCCGAGAGAGTAATGTTTTCTGCTCTGCTACTCTCCCTAGGATGGACACTTCTTCTGCATTGTTGGCACTAACTGCTAGTTTCTCCTGACCAGACCTGACTTTAGTAGCTGCTAGTCCTGTAAATACAGCATAAACTGGCCAGTGGCAGATAAGAGCAGCACTTAATGGATCTTGCAAAGGCTTGAAGCAGCTTACTTAACTTCTGTGTAAATGTGTTTTCTTTTTGTGCAGAATTGGCCGGGGTGGTCGTTTTGGCAGAAAAGGCGTGGCTATAAACTTTGTCACTGAAGAGGACAAGAGGATCCTGCGAGACATTGAGACTTTCTACAATACTACAGTGGAGGAGATGCCGATGAATGTGGCTGATCTCATTTAATCCCTGGGATGAGGTGGTTGTGAATGCAGTGCTCGCTGTTGCTGAATAGGCGATTCACAACGTGCATTGTGCTTCTTTCTTTGGGGATATATTGAATCTTGTCTCAATGCTCATAACGGATCAGAAATACAGATTTTTGATAAGCGCAGCGACTTTCTGTCGTGAGCTCTTGTGGGGAAAGCCACTGGCTTTATCCACTTTAGGGTTAGACTGTTGGGGTTGGGTGGAAAGTCATGGGGTCTGTAAATTTTTTCTTTATTAGAAATTTATTTCCTAGTTCCATAGAAGTGGTTGTATTAGATGTTCTTTATCATTTAATAATTTACTTATGGACTAAAAGATATAAGTGCTGTATAAAGTCAGCCAATTATGTTAAACTAGCCTACCTTCCTTTATTGTATGTACTTACACTTCAGATTGAATTGGAAAGGCCTTTCAAAATCTCTAAACTTTTATAAGAGCATTAAAATGCATTTTTGTTTCATATGTATTTATTCAATAAAGTATTTAATTAGTGGTAAGTGTGATCTGGACCCTGTTGCTAAGCCCCAGCAAGCAAGCAATCATACTATTGTCTTAGTTAGGGTTAAACCCAGTAAAATTTGCCATATTGCACATGTCTTAATGAAGTTTGAATGTTCAATAAAATACTTCTATATTCACTTAAATTGTAAATACTTGCTTCTTGCTTAGAGGGGTGTGTATTAGGGGAGGTGCTTGAGTTAAGGGTAGAGGAGGGTTGTGCTTGTGCCCAGAGCTCTGGTGCTGGACCAGTTTACTGGGCTTTACTGGCCTAGGTGGTCCTCAGCATTGTCAGCAACTGCAGATGCTGATTTTGGAGTAGTGCCTTGGACTAGTAACTGGTGAGCTGGAGGTGCCAGAGGCTGTCTCTACTCTCTCTGCACCTGGGAAAGCTTACTGAATAACTGGTACTGACTAGATGAAGCAGCCCCCTGCCTGCATCAGTTGTGCTCACTGCCAGTCCAAGGCCTTTTTTTTTTTTAAACTGTATTCAGGGAGGTAGGGTAGGACAGGGACACCAGTTTTACAATAAACAGGGCAGGTGTGGAAGGAACAGATCCCCACCAAGAGCTGTGATCTTCACTAAGAAACACTCAAAAGCTTTAAAAATCAGTTTGTGAGGAAGAACGGAATGAGACTGGGGAAAATCTAAAAGCAACTCTGTGCTCTGACCCATGACCTACCCTTCACCCCATGTTTTTGTAATGTAGCTTGAGTGAAATAAAGGTGTTGCAATACTCTTACTAGAAAGTGATTTTTAGAGCATTTAATACCCAGCACAAGGCTGTGCTCCCTCAGGAGCAGGGATCAGCCTGAAGCCCTGTGTTCCATAAAGATGTAATTGTTTTGCCAAGTCAATGCTTCGGAAACCCCAGCAACGTGGCTGAAAGGAACAACTCTGTAAGTGTAGCATGGCCGAGTATAGTCTGTCTGCACTCTTGCTGCATTTCCCTTGCCCTCTGGAAGTCTTACCACCAAGGATTGCAAAGCAGGAGCATTACTGGCCCTGCTGCAGCCAGAGATCTTTAACCTAGCATGAAGAAGTTCAGATATCCCAGCCTGAGCTTTTCCAACTGCTGAGCAGTCCTTTTATTGCAAAAAAAACCAGTACAAAAGCCTGCAGCTCCCTGCTCTGAGAACCCCACGACCCACAAAAGCTGCTCTGCTGCCAGCAGTTAAACGTTCTGGGTTAGCTGCTGCATCACAAGGGCACAGAGACTCATCAGCTGCAGGAATTCATCAGCACCATCAGCCAAGCATTTGTCTACTTCCTGCAAATAGAAAAGAGAAGGTAAAACCCTTCTAAAATAGTGGTGCTCAAGCCAGCTCTTGCTTAGGTTAATGGAGAACACCAAGATGAAGGTTGTCAACTGTTTAATTAATTGGTGACGACCTCTTCAGCAGTCACGCATCACACCCCCATCACACCAAACTGGGAAAAGGTACCTCTCTGGCCTCTTCTGGAGGGATTTATAGACAGGAAGGGATGCCCCATTCGCTCTGTGACTAACTGCAGGAGCATCACGCTGCAGGTCACCACCACTATCTGCCTTTTTTCAGTGAGTTTAGCAAGATCTCCACCCCAGCTGTCTAGTCATCTTGGTCAGAATTTAGCAAGTTAAGTAAAGTAAAGTAACTCACTGTTTCTGAAAAGGCATATTTTACACACTGGAACAAAAGACTTACATTTTGCAGTTCCCCAATTTATATCATAAAAATACAACCCCACCCCCCCCAAAAAAAAAAAGAAACCCCAAACCCCTTGCTTGAGCACCACTAGAACAATATAACACGGCTAATAATTCACTGAACTGGATTTCAATTCCTTCTCATGAAATTTCTCAGGACAAAAATTCAGGTTCTACCAAGACACATTCAGAACTCAAAATAAACCATTACGTATACTTCTGGGGAAAGAGAGTGTATAAACAAAAATTAAATCAGTGGAGATTAATGTGTAGGGGTTTTTTTAACTCAAGCTACAGACTTACCGCAAGTTTCTCAACTATGACAGATTTCTGCTTGTCGCTGTAATCTTCGCTCTCAACAACGGTATCATGCAGCTGGTTTACAAGCTGAGCAACAGCATACCCTTCATTTATGAGATTCTGTGTCAGGGAGGGAGGGAGGAAAATGGAAATAATTCAGCAGCAGAAACACCACAAACTGGAAAACCAATCTGAAAAAGTTCTGTCTGAACTGAAAGACTGTGCTGAAGTTTATTATGGAACTTTGCGAAGGAGTCGCCAGTGGTTTGTATCTAGTCCAGCATCCTGCCTGAGAGTGACCTGAGTTGAGCGCTGAGGAAAGGCTGCAAGAGCAGGGCTGGCATATAGCAATAATTTTGCCCAAATATTCTTCCAGCTTCTGACAATTTACATCTTGAGAATTTTGTGAGCTAGAGACATTTTAAGCATTGAACAACCTCCACTGAACCTGTCCAATCTTATTCTAAAATTAGGAAAGCTTAGCATCCACAGCAGCACATGGCAGTTTCACAGCCTTCACATTTTAAAGTGCCACCTACTTTGATTTATTTTCTTCATCTGGTAGTTGTTTGCCTTAGACATACAGAGATCTGTAAGGCCAGAACTTTTGAAATAAAATAAAACCCATGGCAACTAAAGATAGCTTTGTGTTTTGTTTGGTTAGTTTTAAATCAGTAGTGCCCAGCTACAAAACCAGCAAATATTGAGAACAGTGTTCTATGAAGCCATTTAGGCAAAGAGAAGTTTATGAAAATAGAAAGAGTTGGTGCAATCTTATTTTCCTGTACAGCAAAATATACAGCCATGCTTTACAGAAGTGTGCATTCAAATTGTGTCAGCTGCATATTGAGCATTAATATTTGAAACAATCTCCCACCATGAAATACCTACTCTAGAAACTAGAGAACAGTTCCAAACTACTACGTTAGATTAGATCATGGTTTGATGAAAGGCTATACCAGCTCTAAGGATTTAGAAAATCGGTCTCATCGCCTCTTAAGATCAACACACGCTAAATGTGAAGGCGTAAGGCAACAACATCTGCACAAGTCCTGGCACGACAATTCTAGGATCTGCTGCAAGTTTACAGGAGAATAAATCCAGTCTCAAAAACAGAGGCCCTGGCCAGAACTATCCGATGAGGCTTTGCCAAGTGAAAAACAGGAGGCTGACCAATACTGTCTTTTTTCATACAGGCATGGAACATTTCACTGGGAGAACGGTACTATGGCATGCTCCCCTCTGTCAGGGACAACCTGATTTTAAATCCAGTTCAAGACTGTCTGAGCCTCCTTTAAACTCATGAGATTAGGAACTTCCCATTCTTCAAAAGAGAGCAAGAACCTTTTCTACAGTAAAGACAATAAATCTACCTCTGTAAACCAGTAGCTTGTACCTTCTCCAGCAAGATCTATTTTAAGTCACTGTAGTTTGTAAGACAAACTTACTTAGTAGTGTACTCTAAGATTAACATGAAATATTTCAAAACTGAAGACTTATTACAGCTTTATTCAGATACTTCTCATCTAACACAGCTTCTGTGTAACCAAGGCGGCGACTAGTCCAGTCCAGTGAAGACACAGTTCTAAAGGCCTGAGCCAAATGTCTCACTCAGAATTCCTACTCTGCCTAATTCCACATAACAGCTCCACATGTCACCAGTTTAACTCAGGAGAAAGCTGGAGTCATATTGGTAGGGAATCTTATTTGCAGCTTTGGCAGCTCTTCCTCAGAAGGGAGAGCTCAGAGTACTAACTGGTAACAGACATACTTCCTGCAATGTGCAGCCCAACTGACCTGCGGCCAAACGTTCTTCAGCTGCAGCCCAGCAACAAAGCGTTCACAGGGCAGCGACCCAGAAAACTACCCAGGCCAGAGCACTAAGAGGACTCCTACCTTTGCCAGCGTTTCCAGTTTCTCAAATGAACCACTCTGGCAGACAGACAGCAGTTCATCTGTTGTTTCTTTAGGGATGACCTGTAACAAGAAGTTTCACTTCTTAATTTCAACTTTGTAAGCTTAAAATTGAAGTTGATGCTTACAGTAACAAACACAAACTGTTTATGAAGGAGGCCATTGTAGCATTTCATCCCTCTACACACCCAACCACTTCCAAGCAAGTATAAAAGCCAGACTAGCTAAATTTTAAGAGCAAGAGCTAGGCTGTAGTATTCATCCTATGTTGGTGATTAAAATAAAAACTATATAATGACAGTGAATTGTCAAAGTCACCTTCATAAATCCAACACACAGTTACTCATTCAGGACACTGACTAAGTGGCAGACCTACTTCAACAATCAGATCAGCCAACGCTTTCTGTACCGTTCTACACTTAAGCAAACCAGCAAATCAGTTTTCTCTCCAGTGACGTGCCAGGGACATACAAAAAAAGCCCAATGCAACAAGATCAGACAATAAATCAGAAGAAAAAAGGTTGACAGGTGCCATTATTTAGCTCTGAGCAGGGAAGCAGTGCCCACATTCTCCCCTCTACTTGTCATTCCTGTCAGTTGAGTGTCTGGACAGTTTGGTTTCAAAGCTTCTTTATTAATCTCTCGTACTAAGGTCACTCCAGGGTCACAAAGGTTATGCACGACCAAGAACTTGAAGTCTTTAGGAAGATGTAAAGTTGGGTTCCTTTGGTTTAAACAAGTGTTATTCGATAAAGGAATTTCATGCTTCTCTTTCCTATCATTACAGTCAACATCTGCCAGATTTCTTAGAAATTGTGATTTACAGATATCTGTCAGTGAAATCCAGCTCTTTTCTACAGCTAAGTACACAAAACTGAATGACTTCATGGAGAAAATTGTTTAAAACTGTTCTGTAAAACATGCACAGTAGCAATTGCCTCTGGTTCCATCACAGTGAAAACCTCACAGCCCTAACAATTAGCTATGATGGTAGCACCTTCAAGGGAAGCGTGTCCATCATTAAAGCCCATTTATTCTTCAGCTCAACTCCTAATCTCACATTTCTTGCTTTAAGGGGTAAGTGTTTTGTTGCTATAGGAACCCCTTCGCACAAGTTTTATTAAATGCATTTCCTCTCAGGTTTTTCTTGTCCCTCTCAGTATTATCTATGTAATTTCTAGAAGAAATCACTGCTGTTTTGTTAAAAAGCAAGATCCTACGCAGATCCTTGAAGAGACACTGTCACTGTGAATGTTAAGTTGAAAATGAGCTGCTGCTGAAAGTCATTCCCCTGTGGTGTTTCCACACCATGGTTTGCAATGATCTATACTTATACACACACACGTACATAAGAATACACATGCACATATATGTAAAAGCACCAAAAAGATGTTCTAGTCTATTGTCCCGCAAAAGGCAATATATTTTGCATTCATGGGCAGTATATTTCAACTTCAGTTTGAAATAAGACTATTTTACAGTTTTTCTTGACTTACAGAATAAGCTGCTCGAAACTTGCTATGTACTAAGTGTACAGAATCAGGCAGTCTTTTAAATTTTGGTGGATATCGTATTGCTACCATACTGCAATATTAATGGGTATAAACCAATTTTTTAATCACACTTTGAGCAAAGGTAGATATACGTAGCAAGTACACTTACTACACAAATGCTTTTCAGTGTAATTACAGGAAAAACTGTAAAGCACAGCTTACCCCAGCAATTTCAGTGACTATCTTCTCTGTGATCTCTTTCCCACCCATTAGGCGAGTGGCACTTTGAAGAAAAGTAATTGCTTTTCTTAAGTCCCCTTCTGACACTTTAACAAGGTAAGATACTGCCTGAAAAATAATGTCAGAAAATGCAAGTTATATGTTCACTGTTAATTAAAATCCAGTTGACTTTCTCAGCACATTGATTATAAAACATCAAGCGGTGCCTAAAGCAGATTGTCACAGACAGGCACAATGCACAAGTTACAAAGCAACCTCTCTACTAATATAAATGTGCGCTGGCCATTTCAGAATGAAGCATGGTTTAATACAAGTAATCTCAGCACAGAACAAAGTGCCCTACAGTTTTGCTTCAGTTTTCTCTGGTGGACATTCCTCTGGTTTTAGGATGACTTAAAATTCACCCCATCTGTGGAAGGAGAATAGTACCTAAATGAGTTTATATATTGTATTTAATACAATTGAGCAGTCTGGAAAAGTATGCTGACTTAGCCCCTTTCACTGTAATGCAATTATGCACTGGATTAAGCAATAAAATTCCATGGCAACCATGAAGTTACCTCACTACTGATTTTCACATGTTCCTTCTCAGAAACCTCCAATAGTCTCTGCTGTTGGATTTTGTCTGACAAAGGCTTGAAGCGGAATTTGGAGCATCGAGATGTTAAAGGTTCAATTATTCTGAAAGAAAGGAAGGTGAATGCTTGGTAAATGAATGCATGGGTCAAGTTCGTACAGGCGAAGCTATCGAGGCATAAAAGGCATCAACCTCTCAGTGAAGAAGGAGGGAAAAAAAAAAAGGACAGAACAGGAATAACAACAAGTCCAAATAAGCAACAAACTCCACACGTACCTGCTGATGTAGTTACAAATAAGGCAGAAACGTGTTGTTTTAGATTCTTTTTCCATTGTGCGTCTTAAGGCTGCCTGGGCTGCTGATGTCATTGAGTCTGCTTCATCCAGGATTACAATTTTAAACGGAGGACAAACTTTACCACTGAAAAATAAAAAATCTGTTATCCAGGAGACATGCAACATAGAGACCAAAAAAAAAAAAAGAATCACTGCAAATAGCAATTCATATTTTACTTAAGTATTTATATCCAATAAATAGAACATATTCAGAGGTTCAATGTTTTTTATTATTTTTAGATAAAGGACTAATATTTGTAATAAAGGGGGGGACTGAGTTCCCATAGAAAGACCGACACTGGAATACTGCAAGTCCTGTAAAATACATACTTTTGCATTAAGTTTTTTCTTTTAACAACTAATGCAGCTCTTCTTTTTACAGGCTTCCTCATTCCTTGAGCTTTAAAGAACAGTCAACAGACTAATTTCAGTACACAAGAACATTTCGTGCCAGATAGTCCTGGTATGCAGTTTCTTCCTGCTACTTTCCACAATCTGTTTTTTCCACACATACGACTTCACCTGCACAGGGCTTCTCACCATCTAACGCCAGAATCTTGTTAGCATCTTATAAGCTAGCACTCATTTTGTATGAGATGCTGCAGATTAGAGGTACTAGAGAAGTAACTTCCACCACAGTTTACCCAAAGAAGCTTTTCTATGGTAGTCGGACATTTGCAAAGGCAACAATGTATCACCAAATCCAGAAGGCTTGATCTTTTGAGTTTTTCCCTTTCTGCCTCTCTCTAACTCCAACAGCACTAGTAAAAGTTCCTCCCACACATTCAAACTCTCAACATGAAATTGCATGAAGTCAAAGCTTAGCCAAAACACTACAAGTGTTGCAAACTTCTGGGCAATGCTAGCCCATTATTTATATTAGAATTATAAAGATAACCTAAACAAAACCAATCACATGCTTCCTCCTAAGCAAGAAAGTCCATCAGAGCCAGCTTTGACCCAGCACTTACTCTGAACGGCTTCCAGATGCAGTCAGCTGAGCAAAAGACTTCACTTTTTCCCGAATCACTTGTATTCCACGCTCATCAGAAGCATTTAACTCAAGGACTCTTTGCCGGAATAATTCAGGCCTGCAAAATTTTTATTACAACACATTAGCTGCTAACTCTTGTAAAGATACATTATAAAGTATATCAACAGTCCTTTTGGAGTTTTCAAATGGCTGGTATTATTTTTGCCAGCATTACTAATTAGCATACTTTGTTAAAAGACAGTTAAATTGAGACCATTAAATGTTAGGTATGAATTTCCATTAGCTATTTTTACAATTACCTCCGAGACTGCAGAAAACAGTAAAGTGTAAAATTACATCAGTTATCCAGGGAAAAAAAAGTAGGAATTTGGCTTCCTAAGTTCAGAGCACTATATTACGTGCCTTTCTACTTACATGCTGTGAGCAATGTCAAAGTAAAATGCCCAGATACAGTCACCAGCAGTGCTCTGCCACTGCCAATAATACCAGAAAGAAATATCTAGAAAGTACAATACAGGCTGTATTTAGCAGCAGTATTATACAGCAACACCTCTGATTTAAAAACAAAAAAAAAATTACAATGGATTTTAAATTCTGGGCATTCAAATGAACATACAACTTGGAGTGGTCTTCCCACTATTAAACTAGAAGTGGTTCTTCCCAAAAAACAACATGAGCCAATAATTAAAGACAATGATGGGGGCAGGGGGAGGGTCTAAAGTCAACATCAGATTTGCTCATAACATCAAACCACTTTCTCATCCATTTTTTTGCTTATGGGTCACTGAATTCACTACTCAAAAAGTCCCAAGTGTTACAAGTGAGTTGGATGAATGTACACATGCTGAATTTTAGTCTGACTCCCAATATTACTTCCAGACAAAATTCAATGGCACGTAACAGAAAGATTACGATTCAGACATTTTATTTTGAGATCTATGTGTAGCTAACAACTTACTGAATATACCATTAACATTGGAATTCCTTTACAAAGTTCAGTAAGGCATATAAAAGCCATTTCTTTTCATACTCTTTGCTATAGGGTTACACGGCTGCTAGTCTCAAGTGTTGTAAGACTATATTGGTAACAGAAATCGATGACTCGTGACAGGACAAATGAGAAAGAAATCTCACGTTAGAGCTGAATTAGAATGTGAAAATATTCCTGAAAAAGACCTAGAAGCTACATAAGAACAGGCAATGACTAGAAGCACTCTGTCACACGATTAGAATTCTAGACATGTGATAGTCGATTACAGCAAAGCAACTTGATTCCAGCTTACCCATAGAGTTCTCTAGCAGCTGCTAAAATAGTGGAAGTCTTTCCAGTTCCAGGTGGGCCATAGAACAACAGATTGGGAAGCTGAAACAGCAAGGCACCTTTTTTTTAAAAAAAGCAACTAAACGAAACAAACCACAAACAGGAAAACCTACTGAAAATCTGAGTGCCTAATAGAACTATCTGCTCCTCCTGGTAAATAACATCAAGTCTTTGACTTCTAGGTCACTGCACATAGTGCTCTGAAGGAGGACAAACAGTTGCTGTTTATAACACAGCATGAACAAGCTGTTATTTCGTGACACCATCACATGTTCTATTGAAACTGATACTTCAATTTATATTTTATTTTGATATATACCCCCCAGGTCCTGTCTGCAATCATTAAAGCCTACAGAACTTACTGTTAGGACTGCAGTGATATGCGAATTTTCCCAAGGATGCCCATCAAACAGTCTGGATACTACTAGCAGTGCAGCTGTGACAAAATTTGGCACAGGTTAACTAGCCTGTACTTTCTCATCTCCCCAGACTGCCTTTTCAAGCCATGCTGAGAATTCTGTGCTGCCATTAACTCCACTGCAATAAGTACAAGGTAGTTTATGAATACTTGAACTATATTGCAGTGAGTGCACTGCAGACTTACCCTAACACTAATCACAGAGATGCTTGCAACAACTGACCGGAATGCATACATCCATCCAAGGATTTTTCAGAGGAGACCAGTGGCATTTCTTAAAGAAATTAGGTTAACTGATCTTTCAAATAATTTAATTCATAACCTCAGCATGAAAAATAGGAATGCATTACAGAAATATGCTGACACCGGAAGATCAAAGCAGCACAGCAAAGACCGCAGTAATAATATATGATGACATTTAGCAGCACAAACCATAAAATCTCTCAACTTGAGAATATAACTAAATACCTGCTAGATGGCTGGAATAAAACACAAGCTGACTTTGTTTTCCCTGTCAGTCAGAGGACCAGTATAAGCCTGTCCTAGGATGTGCAGTTTCAATACAGATGGAAAATTACTAATACTAACATAGGGCTAGTAAGACTTCCTCTGGAAAGCTACACACAGTTCAGGTCACCCTTAGTCAAGGGTGATGAATCCAAACTGATTAAAGGAGTGAAGAGCCTGTCTTACGAAAAGTGACTTTTAAAAAAGAGATTGATTTAGTTAGCTCAGCAAAGCAAAAGCTGAGAGGGAATATGACTGATTGACATAAATGTATCAGAGCAACAAAGGGACAAAGTTGGCATAAACCAAATTTGTGTAAGTTAGCCATGACTAAATATTGGCTGAAATCAAGAAGCTTTCTAATTAGCATAGGAATGATAGCTTTCTATATTGCTATTTCAAGTAACTCCTCTTACAAATTATCAGGTTGCACTTTAAAACTGCTGCCTTTGACAGCAGGGGATGTTCCAGTTGTACATTCTTTGAACAAGAATCCAAGAGTCCCCTCCGATCAATAGCAAAAAGACAAACCTCTCAGTCTGACTTGATTTCCAGCCCTTAATAAATGTTCTATTTTTAAAAAGAGTCAACTAAAATTAGATTGGAGAATTTTATGCTGAATATAGCAAGCAATGCAGACAGAATGGGAACAGCAAAACCAAAGACATCCAAAGAGCAGACAAAAATGCAGGAATGCACAATCCATAATCAGAAAATGAAATAGAGATAGACCGGTTTGGTAACGAGCATCCCATTTTAACAACTAAGATTAAGACACAAAGAAGAGATTCAACTGTGTATGTACCGTACAAGTACAGATAGAAGAATTTCAATCTTCAATCAATTTATAGTAAATAAATCAATTTCCAGTTTTCCCTGCTCTTTCTGCCAATCATTTGTTTCTTGTTTCCCTAGTTACTAAAAAGTAAACAGCATTCAGTACTAACAAATGGTTTTTTTCAAGTTTCATTAGATACCACGACATTATTATCCCCCTATATCTTTCAGGAAAGCTTCAGGGAGAAGAAATGTTTCCTGAATGGCATCTGAAAATTCATCATCAACCATGTTAGGTTGGCACACTGTGCTAATTCACACTCTACTAGTTCTCAAAACAAGCATTAGCAGGTAAAGACTTTAATAAGAATCTGTTTCCTAATTCCATTAAACCCATACTTTACTGGTGTTTCTGTTTCAACCTCATTCATGCTTGTTTTTCACTGAAGTTATCACCAGTATTCACACTATTTTTTCACCAGCACAGCTTAATCCTTTATGTAACTGTGGCAGTATTTTTAAACAGACTGCAACCCGATCTGGTTACCCATTTTTCCATGCTTGACAGGGGTGAGCAGGATACCTGCAGGCATCATCCTGCTTATGGGAAAGTTACCACATATAGTGCAAACCCCAAGTCCTTTTCTAGAAGTTTCAGTACAAATGAAAATGTAAATTGCAATTATAATCCTACACCTAACTCTCTTTTCAGTCATTCAGATATCATCAAGTAAATGAAAATGAATACTATGACACTTGTCAATTTCTTTGCAAAAAGCAACAACAACAGGTCCAGCAGAGAGAAATCAACTTCTCTAGTTCAAAATCACTTGGACTCCAGTCTCCCCATTTTATAGTAAGACAGATGCTCTTACAGATGGAGATATATCAGGGACTTAAAAGTCCTACTCCATTTAGAAGCTCCCAAACCAAGGCCCGCAAAAACTTACAGGCCAATCAAGAAAGGACTGGCTCTCCATTTTGGATGGATGCCCCCTCCCTGGAAGTGTTCAAGGCCAGGTTGGATGGGGCTTTGGACAGTCTGGTCTAGTGGAGGGTGTCCCTGCCCATGGCAGGGGGTTGGAACTACATGATCTTTAAGGTCCCTTCCAGGCAGGCAATTCTATGATAAGGCTAAGGTTTAAATAAAGCACGTTACACAAACCTACAGTGTTGTCACAGTTGTTTCTTTGATCTCCCCAGATCTCCAAACTCAATGAGAACTTCTGAAATAAGTACCAGCCACCTCACAGTTTAAGTTACACTTTTGCCTTTTTGACAGAATGAGTCCTTTCAAGAACTAACAAAAACATCCAAATTTTAAAAGCGTCAAATATTTTAAAGTACTGGCATGATTTTGTTCTCAAATGCCTTGCTGAGTTTGGGTAACTGTGGCAAAATATAAAGCCTCTAACTGTAAGTAGAAGTTACAGTTCGTCTTTTCAACTCAGGAGGCAAAAAGTCAACACAAGTGTACTAGGCTCATAATCCAAGAAACATTGCTGATCTAGAAGCTGTAAGGTTTTAAATAGCTGTTGCTTAAAATAGAACTTCACAACCCATCACCTAAGCGATGTTACATGACCCATATGTCCAGACAGAGTAGGTAGCAGCACCTCATTTCTCCTTAGCTGTTAACAGTTCCTTACTAATTACCTCAACCGTACAAATATGACAATATAGCAGCATTGCTGTTGAAATCCAGATTTCTATGGGTACAACATTACATGACAGGGTCACATTACAACAGCATTCTCAAAGTAAACTGAATCTAGGGACATGAACTAAAGAAAATAATTATACAAGTGTTGCCCAGATCTGTCATACCAGCTTCATTTTGACTCCCTTCACTCAAACAAATAAAAGTACTTCTGCTTTTGCAAGTTCCTATTAAATTAATATTTTCAGATAGAAATAGACACATATTATTCAAAACCAGAACTGCAGAGTAAATTGTTCTAAGATAAAATTTTCAAATACCAAAGACTACCTGCGCATACTGTGCATCAGAGCACACTATCAGTGAAAGGCTTCTTGCATAAAAATTTGAAAGGTTTCTTTTAGCTCTTGGTGAGCAGATAGCTGTATCACAAACATAATTTTCAGAACATCCAGTGACCACTTCAGCTGGCATTAGCAGTCCATGAAAACAGAAACAGCTTTTGGAGCACAAGAATGACCTTTCTAGGTGAAACATGGAACAAAACAAAACAAACAAACAAAAAAAGTCTCAGCATGTACAAGGGAAGGAATTGTCCAAGTTGCAAGAAAGTACAGCCATCTCTTGGCTACTTACTTTATGTCTCCCTTCAGTCCCTCCACCTCTCCATCACCCAGTTTGGGGGAAATAACCCTCATTCATACTGAATAGTTACTAAGCTTTCATCCAAAAGCAAATGCAAGTGTAAACAAAAGCAATTGAAAATACTCTTCTTATCCCCATCTACATTCTTAGATGCCAGCACTGCAGTGATGCGGTAGATGTTATCACTACACTCACATCAGCACCTTCCAAGGACTTTTTGAGCACAGCAACAACTTCATCCTGGAAGGCGACTTCATCCACATTTTTGGGGCGACTAAATAAAAAGACATTAAACGCAATTTATTAGCTAACAGTTTCAGAAGAAAATTGAAATTGAGAAAACCAACATTTCCCTTTCTGGCTACATCAGGTACTGAAGAATCACAGCAAATTTTGTAGTTGAGGCCAAAATCATAACAGGAAATCTGTCTAATACCTCTGGTCTGTATTACTGAAGTGATCTAATTTCTCAGGAAGCTGCTTGTCTAGTTCTACTGTAAACACCAGCCCGAGCTGTTTTTAGAAGCAGAGCTGTGTTGCAGGCTGCAATACTGTACCACTTTGTGAGCTGATAAAGGCTTCTCAAAACCAAAGCATTTACTACCCTTCTGCACCAAGCCACAGCGATGAAAGTGCACCGCTTGGCATGAGCAACGAAGGCATTTTCTGCTCAGTAACACCGACAAAGGCTTTCCCTATAACAGAAAAAGTTGTTTTCCCAGGTGGAGACACCTACAGCTGTAACCCCCTTTGCTATACACCCAGCCCCTCTTCCACACCCCCCTGCAGAGCCGAACACCCCCGGCCCCCCCGGCCAGTGACCCCGCCGCCCCAGAAAAGCCCTTACTATTTCTCCACCCAGGGGATGGGTTTGAACTTCTTGCCCTCCCCGCTGCTCCCCGCTGCGCCGGCTGCACCCT